TCCACCTGCCTTGGATGTGTGATCCCAACACTAAAAATAAAAACTAGGGGCTGGAGCAATAACACAGCAGGTAGGGTGTTTGCCCTGCACGTAGCCGACCTAGGTTCAATTCCCAGCATCCCATATGGTCCCCTGAGCACCGCCAGGAGTAATTTCTGAGTGCAGGAGCCAGGAGTAACCCCTGTGCAAAGCCGGGTGTGACCCAAAAAGAAAAAAAAAAATCAACTCGGGTTAGAGAGACAGTCCAGCAAGGAAGCAAGGACAGTGAGGGCCTCGCCTCAGCTGACCGGGTCGAATCCCTGGCACCCCATACAGTCCGGAGCCTCACCAGGCGTGATCCCTGAGTGCAGAGCCAAGAGCCAAGTCCTGAGCTCTGCAGGGTGTGGCCCCCCCAAAACAAATAAATGAACAAATCAAATCAAAGCATCCTGTTAAGTACAGGCTGAGAAGGACCATGGGCAGCACCAGCCAAGGGAAATCCTCCCCAGACACCCACCAAGGACAGCCTGCCCAGGGCTGGTCACTCACACCAACAGCCCCCCAGCCCCCCTCGCGGGGTAACCGCAGAGATGCCCACTCAGAGCAGCCAACAAAGGAAACTGCCGTAGGGCTCCGGCAGGAAGCAGCAGACCCCAGGGCCAGGGCTCACCCCACACAGTCCCCGAGCACTGCTGGGAGGAACCCGGAGCACTGCGCTAGGAGCAGAAACTGCGTGAACCAAGACCCAACAAATGTTGAAGTCATTAATTACAGGGACCGGGGCAGGGGTGCTCACAGTGCACCGCACGAAGCGGGGGAAGCAGCCTGTTTCCATCTGCAGGAGGCATGGGTGGCGCTGGCTCCCTGGTCACTGAATCTGCAAGGGCCAGCAGCCCTGCAGCCCACATAGAACCAGCCCTGAAAGGAACAACAGGAAGGGAGGGCGCAAGGAGGGAGGAGGCTGATGCACAGGCCCACACGAAGGGGCGGGCAGCTGTCACCCCATCGCAAAGGCCCAGCCATGAGGTGAGCACACGAACGTTTCTGCAGGTGGGCTCACCGCTATCCCTGGTCGCCCCCACACCTGGAGGCGGCAGCCTGTGACCGCGGCACCAACACACCAAGCACCCTGGAAAGAACGCGGGACCGGACAGGGAGCGCCAAGAAGCCACGCTGTCCATGCAGACGTCCCCGCACACTCAATGCACCCCTCTGCAAAGGAACTCGGTCAGGACAGCAAACGGCGTGGCAAGAAGGGGTGTGGGGCGGGCACACGCGGCTGCCCGGCCAGTTCTCACTACTCAGCTGTTCGGATTTCATCGTACCAGGTCCAAGAGATTTCTTTTTCTACTTTTTTTTTGTTTGTTTTTAAAAAAGACCAAAAAAAGGAAATCAAAGAGGCAAGGAGCCAGATTCATTGCTATGTCCTTGTCCTTGAAATATCTCTTACGGAACCGCCGCCTTCCCTCACCCAGCAGAAGAGCAAGACTCAGGAATGCGGAGCGCGCGGGGCCTGATCTCAGGCGGACGGACCCGCGGCAGCGGAGCGTCATTCTTCTGGGTTGGCGTCAAGTCCCCAGGGCTGGCGGGGAGGACGGCCCAGGGGGTTGCGGGTGGGGCACTGCAGGGTGTGACCCCCCAAACTGAAACCGAACACAGAGGAATAAAGCCGACTCCCCCAAATGCAGGTTGCTGAACCCCGAGAGAAAATGAGTTCTAAAGCCACGGAGGCTGCAGGCGCCCGGCCAGAGCCGGAGCCAGGGCCAGCGCAGGGTCAGCCGAGACGGAAGGGGCGAGGGGCAGGCGGCGGTCCAGGAGGAAGTGAGAGATGGGAGGAGCGGAGGAGGGGAGCAGAGGGAGGCCAGGGGAAGGGAGCCGGCAACCCGTGGAACGCTCTGGAAGCAGGGGTGCCCCTGCGGGCTGCCAGTGACCAGCAGCCCCCTCGGGGAGGGGGTCAGAGCCTGCCAGCATGTGCTCTGACTTGCTTTCCCCTCTCCCTCAGACACACGCCTCCCCTCTGATTTGGGGGCGCGGAGGCCACACCAGGAGTGCTCAGGGCTTACCCTGGCCGGAAGGCATGGCCGGTCCCTTCCCCTGCACTCTCTCTCACTCACCCAGGTCATTCCACAGCAGGGCTCCAGCAACACTGCCCAACAGCCGAGACAGGACTGCAGGGAGGGGGCTGCGGCCCGGGCCAGCCCAGTGCAAGCCCTGGCACCACAAAGGGTCCCCCAAGCACAGCGCCAGGAGCAGCCCGAGACCACTGGGTCTGGCTTACAACCAAAAAAACATGGCAGAAGAAACATTAAAACATTAAAAAAAAATATATATATATATATATATATATATCGGGGCTGGAGCGATAGCACAGCGGGTAGGGCATTTGCCTTGCACGCGGCCAACCCAGGTTCGATTTCCAGCATCCCATTATGGTCCCCAGAGCACCGCCAGGAGTGATTCCTGAGTGCAGAGCCAGGAGTAATCCCTGAACACTGTTGAGTCTGACCCAAAAAGCAAAAAAAAAAAAAAAAATCAACCTTTACCATCTCAAGAGAATAAGTTCAACACCAAAGCCACAGTGGATGGACTATCCTGGGGGAGCTTGGGATCTGCACCCCATTAGACCCCAGCACACCATCACCTCCTGATGAGCATGACACCTTGAACCACCCTGCAGCGGGGCAAGCCAGTCTGAGGGAATGCAGAGTGGCTCAGGATTTGAAATTCAAATTCTCTAAATCCATGTAAAAATTAGCACGGCGGAAACAGCAGCCAACCCTGCTCCATCCCCAGAACCGCACAAGTACCCCCAAGTCCCACCAGAAGGGACCCTGAGCACTGCCGGGTGTGGCCCGAGACACAGAAACAAACCAGAAAAGCGGATCAGGAAATAAGGAAACGGAGCATGCGGTGGGCGAACTATCTCGTCTCGTTAAGTCTAGTATCTGCGGAAGAGATACTAGACTTTGTGTCAAAGAATCGGGGCCCTTTGCGATTTGTGATCACTCCCGACACCTTGAAACAAGGGCCCAGGCCCAGAGCCGGCCCTGCCCTGCCAGGGTTCTCGGCTCTAGTGACCGGCCACCGGTTACCACGAGCCCCCAGATCCCCCAGCCGGCCACTCCCCAGCCCCGCCAGCGCATGCAGCTGCACAGTACTGAGACTCTGGACGAATAACCTGACCCATGGGGCCAGGGAAAGGGCCAATCACTGTCTCAAGAACGCCGGTTCCCAAAGAGGGCAGGACCACCCTGGCACTGTGGGCTGGGTTTGAGGGGCACTCGAATAATCCAGGAGGGGCTGGAGCAATAGTGCAGTGGGGAGGGCCCAGGCTGACCGGGATTCGATCCCCAGCACCACACAGGGTCCCCCTGAGGCCCTCACCGGAGTGATCTCTGAGTGCAGTCAGCCCTGTGCACCGCTGGGTGTGACCCCCCCCCCCAAAAAAAAACCCAAAACGAAACAACAAAACGCTTAGCAACCTGGAGTAAGAGGAGAGGGCGAATTTCTTTCAGTTCAGCTAGAGAAGATGTTTTTCGGGGCTCTGGGTGATCTCCAGTAAGGGGGTGGTGGCCTGGAGTCTCTGTCCAGAAGTCAAGTTGAGTCAGGAAGTGTGACAGCACTTGGTCACTCAGAAATGGAAGGAGAGTAGACAAGCCACGAAGCTGGACGGCGGCCAGCAGGGTCTGAGCAGCTGAGCTGAAGCCGCGGGGCGGGGGTGCGGGTGCTGGGGTGGGGGGCAGAACAGCTGCTGCGACCTGGAGCTGCCAAGGTCGGGCTCCCAGTGTTCCCGGATGTCGTGCAATGCCAGCAACCCTGCCTACAGCCCAGGGCACTCGCCGGACTGGGTCTCCGCTCCAGACACACGCATGAGTGGTGAGCCAAGCACCAAGGACTGCGTGGTGCTGGCGTTTAACTCAAGCCGGTGTGTATCACCAGTGGCTCACACTGGGCTGGGGTTTAACTGGCCCTACCGCAGCAACAGGGTAAGGGCAACACGTGGCACTTGCCTGGAACACAGCCAACCTGGGTTCGCTCCCCAGTATCCTTCCGAGTCCTCCAGGAGTGACCCCTGAGCACAAAGCCAGGAGGAAGCCCTGAGTACCTGGCAGTGGCTCAGAAAAGAAATCTGAAACAAATCAGCTCCATCCCAGATGAATATCCGCAGGGTGAGAACGAAAGGTGGGGCACCTTTGGGGGCAGGAGTCATGCTTGTCAAAACGGACCCAACTGTGGGCCAACACAGGGTCACTTCTGGGTCTCTGTTTCAGCCCAACTGAACAGAGGAAAAACTTCCATGAGCTCAGCTTGGCTCTCCGACGACACTGGGCCAAAGCAACCTCGGCCCTATCTCGAAGCCGAAGCACCCAAAGGTGCAGACCTGGGCGTTTCTACTTGCAAACCCAACCCCAGGGGAGAACCTGGTCCTGGGCGCAGAGTGAGGTGGGCCGAGGGGCTTCCTCCCAGGCCGCCAAGGCCCAGCCCTGACCTTGGTTGGGACGACCTTCCCCAGGAAGTCAGGTGTCTCTTCCAAAGTCTCAGGAAAGAGGCGAGAGCCCAGAGTCACACAAAGGGCTGGAGAAAGGTGTGTTTGGCACCTCGTGAAATGTTTAGTTCAGAGAAAGCCCTCAGCTACATAGCAGGAGGGAGCGGACACCGGCGGCTCAGCCTCAGGGAGGACACAGCAGAAGCTGCGCCCCAAGGGTCCACAGTGGGGAAGGAAGCTGCCCACAGCCCTTTTCTGCTGGGACAGACACACACTCCCCTGTTTGCGTGGGTAGAGGAGCAGCGCAGACTCAAGCACTGCCCGCAGGTCCATTTCTTAAAAACAGGGCTGAGATTTGTGGTTTAAACACACTGCACAGACTCAACGGCTTCCATCAGCCTTGCCAGGGCAAGGGGAAAGTGGAGCCAAAGCAGACAAAGCGACAGGCACCACGACCCCACGACGAGGACAGCACCGCGTTCGAATCCTTCAAAAGACTGGATGGCAGAGAGGAAGCGGAACGCCAAGTACTTACAGCCATAATTAATTCGAAGGGATGTTTGTACACCCTCACGGGGGACTGGTATTTCTGCACCATGATTGCAATATATCAGCAAACCTCGCACACCTGCAAAACACAAGCGCGCGGTGAGCAGCCTTGAGGACACATGGCCAGGGGACAGAGTGTGGGTCTCATTCCCAGCAGGGCTCAGAATAGGGGGGGACTTGGGTTCGCCCCCACCGCCACCCTGGGCATCCCATATGGTCCCCTGAACATCCCCCGGACCTGATCGCTGAGCACAGAGCCAGGAGTCAGCCCTGAGCAGCACCAGATGTGGCCCAAAAAAAAAGAGTACCCAGGGAGGGAGGGGGGGCTGCAGTGGGTCCCGGGAAAGGCCAGAAAATGTGCAATGCAATGATTGGAGAAATGGATCGATCACTTTCTCTTCCCAACCTCCATCAGAAGCCAGATCAACAGTGGCCCTTTAAGACATTGGGTAGAGGGACACTCAAAAATGAAAGTGCTGGGGGGGGGAAACTACAGCGGTTATCTCCCACTGGACCGGACAGCCCCGGGCTTGGAACTTCGAGCTAGCCTCAAGGCCAAGGGCCAAATGCGCTGCAGATCTGAGACCAGCCCGACCAGTGGGGGATGGGGGGGACACACGCTCCAGGGGGGACACGCTCCAGGCCGGCTGCGGCCCCGGGGGGCTGGGGGGGGGGGACACAGTCCAGGCCGGCTGCGGCGGGGGCGGGGGTGGGGGGGAGGACCCCCGACACACCCTCCCCCCACGTCCCTGCGAGGAGGAGCTCGGGCGCCTACCTGTGGGGCCCGCGATGACCATGAAGATGGGGACGTGACGCCGCGCGTGGTCAAGGGCTGCCCGGAAGTGCCGAAGGGGGGGTCTCCTCAAAGTCTGGCTGGGGGAAAAAGAAAAAAAAAGTTTGGGGAGGGAGGAGCGGGGCGCGGCGGGGGCGGGGGGCGACGCGCGCCCACCACCTCGGGGCCGCGTCACTCAGGGCCCGCGCCCGCGTTCCACGGCCGCCCCGCGGGGCCGGCGCGGCGTGGGCCCCCCCCACGTCCCGGCGCCGGGTGCGGGCCTGAGGCCGGCCGCGAGGGGCCGCCCGGGCCGCCGCCGCCCGGGCCGCCGCCGCCTCTGTTGCACGACAGTCGGCTCCCGCCGCACCCACCGCTCGTCAGAAGCGCCCGGCCCGGGGCTCGGGGCGGCGGGCGACGCTCATGCCGGCGGCTCCCAGGCCGTGGCCGTCGCTCTGCCCGCGGCCGCCGCTCCACGGCCGCTGCCAGCGAGTGGGCGGGAGGGGCCGGGGGCGGGGCCGCGCGGTTGTTACGGGCGACGGGGGCGGGGCCGCGCGGCGCGCCTGCGCGTAGCCCCGAGGCCGCGGGGGCGGGCGCGGGGGCCGTTGCTAGGGCGAAGGGAAGGCGGGGTCGTCCCCCCTCCCCCCTGGGGCCGCGCCCGAGCTGCGCAGGCGCCAACTCGCGGGCGTGGGAGGAGCTCGGGGCGGGCGCGCTGATTGGCCCGGCCCGGCGCCTGGCTCCGCCCCGCTTGCGTCACGAGGGCGAGCCTCCACCCAGGCCCCCTCCCCCACCCCGGAGCAGGCGGCCAGGGCGCTCTGCGGGCCCCGCCTGGGATCCCCCGGGTCCGAAGTGGTGTGTTGCGGCTTTGCCGCCGCCCGAGCCGGGCTGGAGGCTCCCTCCCGCTTCCTCGTTTTTCATTGCCAGCTCAGAAGCTGCAGGCTCCCTGTTGGCAGTGCCCCGTCCGCATTCCCGCCGAGTAATGCTGATGAGGCAAGGGCCGGGGTTGGGCGGCGGCCGGGTGGCACCCAACTGCTTCCTGTCAACACAGCCCGTCCCGGAGGCCGGCTGCACCCGGGGGCGGCCTGCGGGCCCGCAGGGTCGCCTCCCGGCTCCGCTTTCCAGCCCGGGCGCCGGGTGCGAGGTGCGGCGCGCCGCGCCCACGTTGACCTCTCGGGGCCTCCGCGCACGCCCACCCACGCGGGGCAGCTGGGTTTTAGCCGTCTCCGTCAGCGTCAGGGCCGTTCCGTTCCCAGGGGTCACCGCGGTGGCGGTGCGTCCGATGATGCAGTCCCAGGCACAGAGCATCTGGGGGGGCCTGACTTGGAGTTTCCTTCGGGACCAGTTTACCAGCCGCGCACACACACACACTCATTCGTTCCTTATCAAAGCCCTCATTTTCTCAGCTCCGAACGTCGTTTTCCACGCTGCCCACGCGGGTCAGACTGAGCTGTCTCTCTATAGAAACCACATCCACTTTCCCCAAAGCAGCTCTGAGCCAAAGGCCGCGCCACCGAGAACTTCCTGCTCAGGGTAAACAGCGAAGTGGTCCTGCAGTGGCCCTGCTAAACCGGTGGTAGCATCACCTGCTTTCGGGAAGGGAAGCGGGCGACAGGGCCTTGCTCAAGAGACCAGGGGGAACCACTGGCCGACGGAGACTGTGGGAAACGCTGTATGGCAACATTTTCTTGTTTTTGTTTTCATGTCCTTTGAGGTCACGCCCAGATGGGCTCAGGGCTCACAGGGCTAAGTCCTGGCGGTGTGACCATATGTGATTCGGAGATGGAACCTGGGCAAGCCACTTGCAAGGCGACACCCAGCCCGCCGCTGTACTGGCAGTCAGACTTTTTTTTTTTTAATGTTTTTTGTTGAGTCGCCTTCATGGGGCAGGGGTTCAGAGTCCCCACCAGACTTTGGAGAGGCACTCGCAGTAGTACCTGCAGCACCCCGGGCCCATTATTTCTACACACAGACCTGTTCCATAGCAGGCAGTGAGAGAGGAATCCCAGGGGAAGTAGCTCAGGATCGGGTTTGGCTGTAAAGTGGGGCAGAACAGAGGGAAAGCACACAGGCACTCATCCCCTGCTCCCATCACCCGGAGCACTGCTCTGGGAGCACTTTGAATGGAGGAGGGCCAGAGTGGTCGTGTACCAAGCCAGCATCATTAAGAGCTCCGTTGCCAAGACTCAAGATGGATTTCAGTGACATCAATGATGCTATCAAACTTTTATTTATTTATTTTTGGCTTTTGGGGTCATACCTGACTCAGGGATTACTCCTGGCTCTGCACTCAGAAATTTCTGGCAGTGCTTCAGGGACCATATGGGATGCCAGGATCGAACCCGGGTCAGCCATGCACAAAGTAAATGCCCTCCCTGCTGTGCTGTCCTCGGGCCAACTGTCAAACTTTTAAATGCAAGCTGAGGGTAGTGGAGGCAGCTTGGGAGGGTGGCGCGTGCCTCATCATGTGAGGCCTTGCGTTCTGTCCCTGCACTGCGGGGCAGGGAAAAACACCAAGGAAATAAAAATGCACCGTGAAAGCATGTTTGAAGAGTTGTGAAATACACGGAGGAGGGAATGATGCGCTGAGTGCTAAAAAAGAGACTTAGAGGAAATGGGAAGGGAGCCAGGACTGGGACACCCGTGGAGGTGGGGAGGGAGTGTGTGTGTGTGTGTGTCTGTTTCTCCAAGCACCACGAGAGTGACCCCTGAGTAGAATAGGAATAAGCCCAAATGGGTAGGCCCCGAAAATCAAATGCAATGCTGCCATCCGGGCCCTGGAAATCCTATGCTGGCTTCGCGTGATCGGAGCGACCTTCTCTCCATCCCCAGTGATCTGTTCATTTATTTCATAAAACTTGTGTGTGAACCTGGCCAGTGCCTGGTTTACCCGGACCCATCCCGAGCACAGGAGCATGTGCACACGGGGCCCATCAAGGCAAGGGACCCTCAAGGCAATGGGTCCATGGCAACTGACAACATAGGGACCTGAGATGTCCGGAAGCTCCCCACTCTTTTTTTTTTCTTTTTGGGTCACATCTGGCAATGCACAGGCGTTGCTCCTGGCTCATGCACTCAGGAATTACTCCTGGCAGTGCTTGGGGGACCATAAGGGATGCTGGGAATCGAACCCAGGTCGGCTGCATGCAAGGCAAACGCCCTACATGCTGTGCTATCGCTCCAGCCCCCTGAAGCCCCTCTTGTTCCCCCCAAGCCTGTTCTTTCCCTTCCTTCCTCGGGTGCACACACATGCATTGTGAGAGATCAAACCCCAGCCAGCATCCCAGGCCCGCTGCACTCTCTCTCCAGACCCCCAACACAGCTTTCAGAATTTTTCGCTTCCAAATAAAACATTTTTGTCACTCCCTGTTGATGATCTTGGGTGTTAGAAACAAAGCTGGAGCAATAGCACAGCGGGTTCGATTCCCAGCATCCCATATGGTCCCCCCGAGCACTGCCAGGGGTAATTCCTGAGTGCAGAGCCAGGAGTAACCCCTGTGCATCACTGTGTGTGACCCAAAAAGCCAAAAAAAAAAAAAAAGGAAGAAATCTTACAGCACTGACCAGCTCAGACTAAGTATACCCAGGTGGAGGAATATCACGGTGGGCTGAGAGTTCGCTCTGCTGGAAGGATTGTGTTTGGTTATATCACATGGTCGCTGAGCACTGCCAATACCAAGTTCCACAGAGCCCAGAATAGACCCGGAGCACTGCTGGGTGTGACCCAAAATTCAAAACCAAGGAGCCAGAGGGCCAGAGAGATAGTGTAGTAGGTAGGGCACTTGCCTTGCACAAGGATGACCAAGATTTAATCCCTTCCACTGCATATGGTCCCCTGAGCACCGCTAGGAGTGATCCCTGAGTACAGAACCAGGAGTAAGCCCTGAACCACCACCAGCATGGTTTCCAAAAAGCTAAACAACAATAAAAACAGTAGTAAGGGGGCTGGAGAGATAGCACAGCGGGTAGGGCATTTGCCTTGCACGCAGCCGACCCGGGTTCGATTCCCAGCATCCCATATGGTCCCCTGAGCACTGCCAGGAGTAACTCCTGAGTGCAGAGCCAGGAGTAACCCCTGTGCATTGCCAGGTGTGACCCAAAAAGCAAAAAAAAAAAAAGTAGTAAGGAGAGAGGCCCAGAGCAAATGTCAAGTGAGAAAGGCGCTTGCCTTGCAGGCGCCCAAGCCAAGTCTAAATCTAGGTCTCCCCCCCCCCCCCTCCCCAGAGCACTGCTAGGAGTGATTCCTGAGTGCAGAGCCCGAAGGAAGCCCTGAGCACCATCCTGTGTGGCCCCAAAACCCCAAAATAAACACAAAATAATAA